CTGTGATAGTGCTGCGATCTATTGAATTTTCCTACAAGTATTTTTCGGTGCATTTAGCCTTAAGGGGTACGTGCGGTTAGCACATTTCTATGCCATATTCAGGTCTTCTCAACCTGCGAAGTGAGCTTTCGCCACACAGCAACAGATTCTGAAACATTGCAAGGAAAGCGCATACCATAATCTGCCCCGACCGGGAATCGAACCCGGGATCGCGTCATAGAAAGCGAGCCCGCTGACAAGTGAGTTACTTGTGGGGTCATAATATTAAGAGGCCTTTAACAGGAATTAACCTAGCCCTGTTGTACCTTGGGACATCAAGGTACAACAGGGTTTGCATGACATGCCATGTTTGGTTTTACGCCACAATCGCTGATCCAGTTGATTATTTGCAGGAGAATTTGTGTACTAGTATTCGTGTTCTGGTGTACACAAATCCTAGTAGTATACCTCGCAGCAAGGAGGGCAAAACTAGGAGGAAAACCGTCCCAAGAAAGGTGGAGTATGTTGTAAAGGAAATATTGCAAGGAAAGCTGAGAGTAAATGAGGGTGCAGAGAAGTAATATTTATGGATTTCATGCGACGAGTATATTTCCATTTAATGAATACATAATTAAAGATGAATTTCTGCAATCGTATGTAACAGATTCACACAACTTCTATTGAAGCATGTCTTCCTTTGTGTTCAAAAGGAAATCCAGTCTCCTTCAAATTGGAACCAAACAGGTTATCCTATTACACTTGAAATTATTCGGCCATATCCCAAAGCTTCTGCCCGAAAGAAGTCTACAAGAGGAAGACAGAAATGAGTAGAATTCTAACAGACACGCATGAAAAGGAGATAAACGCAAAAAAAGCGAGACAATTGGTTTCTGCTAAGAACAGAAAAATCAATAATGTTACGAAAAACGATTAATGAAAAGGAATTTTTAATGAAAGGTCTAAGGACGAACAAATTACCTTAATTTAGTACTATGAAGATTATGATATGAGCAATCTTCTAATATACATTTTACTGGAAGAAAAAACAAATCAGGTGGATTGTGAAATAGAACCTGCAGTTAAGAAAGAGATTACGTTTAGCTGCAACTAATAGTTCAGTCGGTAGGCACTGAAAAAGGGGTGTTACCTGGAAAAAGATCTTAAAAACTTTTTCTTTGGATATGTAGTATGTACAAAGGCTCTAATTAAAGCCCTAAGTTTTCGACCTCCTAGACTCAGTGCTAACCCTGGGAGGGCCGACAAACTGGTATTTTCTGACATTTTTTTTCGTTTTTTCTATAATTATTTAACCTTAGGTCATGTAGAAAATTGATTAAAATAATTTCTGAAGAGGATCAAATTTTCTACTACTTTTGTATGAAACATTTCTTTCAAAACCAATTACAAAGTGAGCTACAGCTTTACAAAACTGGATTTTTACGTTTCTACAAAATGTCGCCGTCGGTGTAAACATTGCATCAAATGTACCCGTTTTCAAAAATCGTTCTTTTTAAAAACTGGAAACCACGTATTCACAGAAGAAAAATTTCGTGGTAAGGAAGAAGTTAAGCCAAGTTCCGAGAGGAAGCGAAATTTAAACTAATCATAAGATTTAAAAAAATGTTCTAAGCGGCTTTGAAGCATCGTGAGTAATAACGTGAACTGATTGTGATTAACGTAAAAACAATCACTTCCGAAGTGTTCCCGTGGATAATTTTTTTAGATGTTCAGGGCAACTTTTCTAAATTTAAGATAGGAAGATATGGGCGAATTTCTCCAATGTAATGCGATAGAATACGTTTTAAAACATTTATTTGATAGATCTGGAATTGTTAAGGCAATAACAAGGATTTTGGACACTTGGGGTAAATCACACAAATGAACATATTGGGTCGGTTAAGAGAATAATATTTATAGGAAATTACATATTACCAAAGAAGCTTAAGAACATTCTTCTTGTGAGAGCTGAAGTAAAAAATGTAATTGAGGAGGGGAGGTAAGAATTTTCTGGCACTTTATTGGTTCTAAGAATTTGGATAGAGGGCCTTCGTCTTTTTGAGCATAGGCAAGGGAGGAAGATATTCTTCGATTAAAACAGTAAGTCCTTTCGAGGCCACTAGCTGAAGAGAGAGGGTGACACTGTCTTCTAATTGAGAGCTTCGTTACGACTTAAATTTTTGGCACTGAAGCTCTCCAAGTCTTAACGAAACTCGCTATTGGATGACGGTGTCCTCCTCTCTCTTCAGCTCGTGGATTTGAAAGGTCTAAGTGTTTTAATCTAAGTATAATGCTTCTTTGCTTTCTTTCATGGACAAGATTCCACAGTCGAGGTTTGTCTTTGCCTTCCAATAAAAGGATGCTGAGCGATCACGAGGAATGAAAGATGAAAGATTAGGTGATGTAATAACATTTGTCCATTGAGTAAATGACAAAATTAAGGACAGAAATATCAAAGAGGCCATAGAAAAAGCGCCCTTGAATACCACTGTTGTAAGGAATGGTACCATATTTTATATACGTTTTAGAATTTTATTAATAAATAACATAAGAATTATACATTTTATATATTGAAGATACAAAAATACTGGTTGTAATAAAATAATTCACGAATCGAATTACAGGCCAAATAAATGTAAACATAATAGTTTGATTACTAGTAGAAAAGTATCCTAGTAGAAAAAAATCCATAAATTTAATGTGCCAGATGATGCAGTGCAAGTGGTTGGTCATAATTTGTTCCTTAGTTTGAAAAGAGAACATAATGTAGTTACAATCAAGATGAAACGCTGAGGTAATCATTTTGCTAATGCAAAACCAAACAATTGGTGTTTGCAAAGTTTTGCTTCGACTATTTACTCGAAATCACGATTATTTGAGCCCTCCGATTCTTCTTCTCTGAACATTTCTGGTGTTCTAAAAAAATATATGACAATTTCATTTGTATCATACACCAGGAGTTATAAATAAAATATTATTCAAAATTCGTAATTTATGACAATTATGACTCAAAACATCGCCTACTAATACATAAAGATTCGATGCAAGTTCATTTAATCATTTTATTTTTTTGTGGTTTCCGAATTTTACGTAAAAAATAGTTAATAATAAATAAAATACTTGCTACTAAACTTGTTCACATCACAAACAAGCCTGAAACTCGTGATATTCTCTCTTTGGAAGCGGGTAATTATTAAATTAAATTTAAAAAAAGCAAAAATCCCATTTTTCGCAGCATGCGTGCCGTCGTGAAGGAGGGCAGTCACATCGCCATGCAAGTTGCCCTGTCGGTCGGTCAGTGCCAGTCGTAGAAGTCCTCCAGCCAGCGCGAGTCGTCCAGCGGTACACGCGCGGCGGTGTAGGGACGGCAGCCGCCGGCGCGCCCTGCAACACCACGCGACCAGCTTCTTTGATGTTCCCGGGCACGGCAACTGCTGTGAGCACTAGTCGCATTAGAAGGGAGTTTCTGAGCGTACCGCAATTTCGGTCTTCTGTAGATGCACGAAAGTGATGCCGAACTCGAACTGCGCTTGCGCGGAAGATCGATAGTGCAGTCGTTTGCTGTAACGCTTCACCGTGCAAAAAACTCCCTATGTTCCGGGAAATGGCGGTGTTCCTTCCTAACTGGCTGGTGACACCCGGTGCTGATCTACACTTTGGCTTGCGAGGGGATGCCCCTCTCCAGGTATCTCACTAAACGGGGCACCGCCCTTTCCGGGACAAGCTTTGGACTTCCGACATGTTTAGTGTGGTGTATGGTGTGTATCAGGGGGTGCGGGGAGGACAATAAAGAGAAAAGAAAGACCGCGCGCGATCCGTGACCCGTTTGGTAGGGTACTGCTCCGGCATTCGCCTGGTGTTGATCGGAGAAACCACGGCCAACTACCGATCTGAGCAGACGGATGATAGAATTTTTCTCCAGACAGACGTCGAATTTGACCTAGCTAGTGTCGAAAGTTCGTCTCCATCGGTACTCGAACCTTAGGACTTCCCTAACAGAGTCTCTGCAAAGCCAACGGCAATGCTGGCGTTGAGATACAGCCAGAATCAAAAAATCGGGAGCTCGAAGGGTTGATGGTGAAGCCCACGCCGAAATTCCAGGCGACACGATGACAATGTTTGCTTACAGAATGTTAGGCAGTGGGTTAATAGAAGTATTTACTTATGTCCTAGTCTTGACATGCCGACAAGAAAAACACGTTCTGAGCTTCATTAACTCTTCGACTACCAAGAATTTAATGCATCCTTTGAATACAAAGAGGGGAAGGGGAGGAGGAGAAGTTTTCCCACAGAAATTTCAATGTAGTGTTAACATTTTTATCATAAATGCTGTGATATTGTTTTAGTGAATCATATTAAAAATTAATTTGAGTTAATACATTTTTTGCGATTTTAACAATATCGATACTATTGTATGACATTGAAGAGAGGTTCATAACAGAACGCTCACAAACTTTTGCCGTAAACATAACTTCAAATTGCGTTATGAAAACATGATACAAAGGAGTATATGCAGGTCGTTATACGATTACATGCCAAGAAATTGTGGTACTCCAATAAGCGGTATGAGGAAGTTAACTAAAAAACAGCTATAGAAGATGTCGAAATTACCAACGAATTATGAAATAATATAGAATTATAAAATGTCCTGACTGTACTCGAAGAATAAACACGAGACAACTCAAATTACAGATCTATGAATAGTAGTATCAGCTGTAAAAAAATTAATTTATTAATGATTAAAGGGATTGATTCGGAAATTATTGCCTCTTCTGCTCCAATTTCAATGGGCCTAACGCAATCCTTCACCTTTGTTTTTCTAGAAATATTAGAGGGGATACTAATGTCTCTTGGAGGCTTAGCAAGGTAAGGTTCCCAAATAAACACTACAACACTGGCCATTAAACCAGTTAATTTTTTAATCTATCTTCTTATTTGTGAAACTTATTCTGTCGTTTTATTGCTAATATATTTGTTTTACGAACCGAGGTAGATTGCAAAATAATTAAATTTTTATCAATTTACTTTAATTTAAAACGTCACCCTATCCCAATTTTTCCTCATGTTTAATTATCACGTTTATTTTTAATTTTTCATCATGTTTTAATTTTTCGAATTTTTATTTAACATTTGCTATTGCTTCAAGTGGTGGTTTTTCGTAGTTTTAAGACCAAAAATATTTTCTGGGAGTTGTGATCAACTGAAATAATTTTAGAGGTCTTATTCTGAATCCACTGAATTCAGACAGGGATCTACTTTGTCAAAGTCTCCAGCGTGCTACTCACAGGGACAGCGCTTGCTCCACTGCTCCCTCCACTCCTGCGCCCCCTTCGGCGGCCAGTCGCCCGATTCGTCCGCTGGGCGGCGCCACCGCATCCAGGGCGGCATCTGCCGGCCGTCGGGCCCCTCGCCCTCCGGGCCACCCCAGCGGCGCCAGCAGGGCCAGCGGGCCGCGGGCGGCTGCTCGGCGTCCCCAGGGGCCCCCGGGCCCCCCGCGGCGGGCGCGCGCTGGCGCCAGGCGAACCACGGACGGCGCGGACACGTGGGGCCGTGCGTGGGGATCGCGGCCCCTTCAGGCGCTTCCGCTGCTGGGCTTCCGGTCATCGTCAACACTGCGCAAGAGCCTGCAGGAAATGCGGCAACTGGCTAACTACATGGGTGCTTTGACAAGAAGAAGAAGAAGAAGAAGGAGAAGAAGAAGGAGAAGAAGGAGAAGAAGAAGGAGAAGAAGGAGAAGAAGAAGAAGGAGAAGGAGAAGGAGGAGAAGAAGGAGAAGAAGGAGAAGAAGAAGAAGGAGAAGAAGAAGAAGGAGAAGAAGAAGAAGGAGAAGAAGAAGAAGGAGAAGAAGAAGAAGAAGAAGAAGAAGAAGAAGAAGACACGACAAATGAGTTAATGTTCTAAATATAAAAGATGAATTTGATCTTTGCTCAAGTTGAAAGATACTTATTCATCTTGCCACAATAATTACATTTGCAAGTTTCTACCAAGTCCCTACAGAGAATAATGATTTTTGTTCCATCTTTTGCTTTTCAGGTTTTTGACGCGAAAAAAGTTGACAACTAGAGGCAGGTTGTTGAGGGACGAGAAGGAAAAAAACAAATTTGCAAGTTGATTGGCTTTCACTATTGCGACTTTTGAACGAGTTTCATTAATATCCATTACGCACAACCGAGCTGCAATTTGTTTAATCTTTGTTAGGCATAAAATGTATGTGGTCTTCTCCACGAAAAAGTCAATACTAAAAGTCGACAAGATTGAACTTGTATTTGGAGCAACACGATCTTCGTGTCGAGTCTCGGAAGTTAATCTTCTGGTTTTAGGACGATTTGTATTCACCACAAACGTTATGAATATTAATTAACACTACTTTATCATCAAATCACTATAATACTGTATTGAAAATGAGAAAAATTGGAATACAAAATAAGAAAACTAGTATCAGTTACTATTTTTAAACTACGATGAAAACAAAATGCAAATATGGTATGGTATATTGTAATGTAACAAATGAAACAATACTTCACATTCACAAATAAAAATTAAAATAAATCTCTTATTTTATGTATTATTACACTTCCATTAACAATTATCTTTAAGCATACATTAAAAAAAAATAACAAGTTACCGTCATTGCTTGAACACATGCTTGTCACACGACATTTAAATGTGGAATCCCACTTTTACCAAAATCTTACCTCAAGCAGATGCTCAGGAAAGCGAACCGAGAACAAAACTCAAAAACGTTGCGATGAACCCCGTTGAGCAACTCAACGTTGTCTGTTCCCACCTGTTCTTACGATCCGGTATTTATGCTGGTCAGTCGCCGGCTGACGCCACGGGCGCGTAGCGAAGCCAGGCTGATGCAAGGCCGCATGGGAGGCATTGAAGAGCTCACAGCGACCGGGAACTCGCAGCTTCCTCAGACGCGGCGTGACGTCACAACAGCACTTTGGCCGCGGCGGCCACCACGCTGTCTTGGCGCGGATTTCATCAGCCCGCGCTGGGCGACGGCACGTTACCTGTTTACTCCAGGCGGGGAGGTCGCGATAAAAATAGAGATAACTCTTACATAGTGGCTGCCTAATGATGGAGATAAGACAATTCCACCGGTCTGTTGAAATACTTGTTTTTATTATCGGAATGCACGCTCTTGATCATGTGCTTGAGTGGAGTACTCGTGGTTTGACGGACTGAATGCCTAAAAAAGTAAATACGTCATCTTAATTTATGGATATCGTTAGAAATTCTCGTATTTTTATTTATACGGAACTTTTAATTTGAATCGGCTAGGTTAAACCTAATTGTAAGGGTAGATGTTAAATAAATATAACTAATACAAATACAGGAAAGAAATAATTAAAGAATTTCGTCCACTTACCCTGCAAGATCATTTATTTAATACGTAAAGCAAGGTTCAATGCAGATGTTGCCAGTAATGTGTCAACAAATTAAAATGTGTAGCACCTTTAAAACATCTTAACGAAGTAGATGACTATCCACGAAGTGTAACAAAACTACCTTTTATAAAATATCCTTGAATATTTTTTTGTTTTTTCACATACATAAACACGTATGTATAGTTACAATCCATCTGAACAATGAATTAAGCCCTTGGTTTAAATACTGCATCGGACGGTAAAATAGAGCATACGTTTGGATTTGGATATGACGGTCAATGTTTTTTAATCACTGTATTGACGGCTCGTTGCAAAGAACTTCACGCTCCAACCTAATTTATAACATAATAAGTGTCATTTTTTGTACGCGTAGTCGTCTGCGACTGGAGTAAGTAACTACTTGGATGTCCCGGAGATTTCGCGTCATAGACAAATGCCAACATTTCGGCCGTTATGCAGTGACTATCCTCAAGCGAAATTTAACCCCAGATATTTAAATTACAATTATTTACTTATCGCAATGCTATACAATGACAATATTTTAAATACAAAAACGTATAACGTAGGTGGACATATCAATCGTCACAAATAGTTTTACACATATTGAGCATTTTAAAATAGGACAAATATTGCATTGCATTTGCTGCATTCACTATCACTCGTTTAAATCGCTTTCACAATATCTTCAAATTGTTTTAAAACGTGATTATCCACTTTGGTTAGGTAATATGAAACATTATGCTATTTGAAGTTTCGTAATGAAGTACCTCACTAATGAGGTAATGCAGTCACACTAGTGCGGTAAATTAATGGCCTATTTTGCAACTCTCTAACAGAGTAAGTATTCAAATCATATTTCGATATGGAATTAACTTTTTGTTCACACCAATCTTTAAAAATTAAATACTCGCGCTCATATTTTTCTTGATTTGTTGGGTAGCAATGTTTCCAAAGCAGCAGTTGCTGCTATTTCTATTTCCAAATCAGAACTATATCCACCTACGTCGTGAAGTGTGTTTCAATTGTTCATGTTGAGAAAAGGGTCGCCACTTATGGGAGAAAACACGTGAATATTAATTGACGGCGTAGAGCGAAATTTCACATTAAACATTACAAATTCTTACAAAGTGGATAAATCGTTCGTACGATAATCGTCGTAGCTACTGATTACAATACTTAATTGGTTACCAAACCCTGCCTACGGTCTTGTTTGGGAATTTTCCAATCTCTTATTGTAATCAGATGCTTTACGACATTAATATCGTAAATAAGTATTTCCACCTGGAGTTCGAAGCCCGTTTTGGAATTTTTTGCTGATGTAGGGCAAAAATATGGCACAAGCTGTATTTTTACTCTAAAATTGCAGGTTTGAGGAGTTACAAAGCGAATTTTTTCGTTTTATAAGACCCCAATTTCGAAAATGTAAAATATTGTGACCCCTTGAATTTGATAGGGATATTTTAACTCTTGTGGGTACTTTACATGACGTCTCTAGTACAGTTTCAAAATTTTCTCAAAAATGACTTCAAAGTTTCAGTTTAAATTTTTTTATAGGATAAAGGTAAAGACGTTCCAAGAATGGCAGAGGTAACATTTTCGCTGCACTCCCTAAAGTTTCGAAAATGTAAAACCTCAGAACTTTTTCGGTGTTTGCCTACAACTAATAATATTGGAGATTACATGTTTTTATTCAAGTTCTTCAAAATTAGTTCAACAATTGTTTTTCAAAATATGAGTAGTTTTCACGTATTATTTCGTGAAATGAACATTTAAAAATTTTTTTTTCAAAAGTGACTTCAAACATTAAACATATTCTACGATTTGGGCTAAACGCACTGAGTAACTTGATATCAACGCAATTTTGCTATACTCTTACTTTTTCAAAAATTACGAAATGTATGTTTTTATATACTTCGCGTCATTAACATTATTATGAGCGTTTTTCACATATTATTGCATTTATGAGTACAAGTGTTTCGAACTTTCTGACGAAGTATCCCAATCATTCAAAATTTTTTTGTGGATTTGAGTTCAAAATTACACAATTTCTGAAAAGCTTGAACTATATATTCTCAAAAGTGATGTACATAATAGTTTTGAACATCACGAACCCATATTTTTGTCGTTAATATTTACATCAGAGGTGCATTTCATGATTTAATGCATTTGGGGTCACGGGGACTTTAAATGTTGCCATATGAAATTTCTGGAGATCATATTTTTCTTCGAAATTAAAAAAGACAACGTGAAAGAATGTACGTGTTTTAATCTACTTTAGCTCTACGGCTTGGATATTGAATCAGTCTTACAACAACCTTGGATGTAATACAAAATCATATTATCAGAAGACATTTTTGATCAAATAAAACGTTCCGAAAGTCTTCAACCACTCTACCAAAGATGTCTGGATTTCTTTTGAAAGCAACGTGTCGAGCTTTTTCTTTCTCGTCCTTGGTTTTTCATATATTATTGCATTTATGAGTACAAGTGCTTCAAACTTTCTGACAAAGTATCCCAATAATTCAAAAGGTTTCTGTGGAAATGAGCTCAAAATTTCGCAACTTCTGAAAAGCTTGAACTATATTTTCTCAAAAAGGCTCCAAATATTTTGAGAGCAATGTACATATTTTTGAACATCACGAACCCATATTTTTGTCATTAATATTTACATCAAAGGTGCATTTCATGATTTAATGCATTTGGGGTCACGGGGACTTTAAATGATGCCATATGAAATATCTGGAGATCATCTTTTTCTTCGAATTTAAAAAAGACAACGTGAAAGAATGCACGTGTTTTTAATCTACTTTAGCTCTACGGCTTGGATATTGAATCAGTCTTACAACAACCTTGGATGTAATACAAAATCATATTATCAGAAGACATTTTTGATCAAATAAAACGTTCCGAAAGTCTTCAACCACTCTACCAAAGATGTCTGGATTTCTTTTGAAAGCAACGTGCCGAGCTTTTTCTTTCTCGTTCTTGGGATTTCCGATTATCCTCTAAGCACTTTTTTTATCCACCCCCCGACTCCTTCGTTCCCTTCCTCTCCCCACTCTTTCCTCTCGCCGACAGCGTTGATCAGCTGTTTCATCAGTTGCGGGCCCTATCTAAATACACCGCCCATCTCTTACCTCGCTTCTCCTCGCAGCGCCTCGCCTCCTCAATCTTGGTTTCTTTCCGGGCGGGCGCGCCATTGTATGTTCCCCGCGGGCCTTCAATGTTGCATTACCTCTAAAGACGTTGCCCGGGGCGAGAGCGTTCTTTCCTGGACCCTGGTTTAAGTAAGCCGCTGGCGAGAGAGAGCGAAAGTAAACGACGCTTTTCTTGGGGGAAGCCAGCTTTGCTCGTGTCTCGCCATGTAGAGTCTGGCAACTAAAAGACGACTCCGTGAACGGCAAGTCGAGAAGAAAGTTTGGCGAAGCTGACGATGTCTGGGTTTTCTCAAGGTGCAGGTGGAGCGAGCAGTTGCGTTACCCAGAAGGAAATTTTACATTTCGCATAGGAAAAGATGAGGTTGGGTGTCATTAATTCTAAGTTTTTAAGTTTTCAGTATAAACTGTTTTTCTTATCGAAAGTTTATTAATAATATATTATGGATGTTGTTCAGATATATGTTACCGTTATTTTAATCTATCGATTCAGCTTATTATAACTACTAAATTCTCCTAAATGCATCATTAAAAGAAGATAACCAAATATTTAATTACGTCTGTGTATCTTGCGTAAATGAACGTTACTCAAGTGCGAGCAGTTCCAAAAATATAAAAAGTAGTTATTACGTATTAATTACTTCTTAATATCAATTGCCTGGTTGAGATAAGAGTTTGTTGAGAGTACACCCTCTTGAATGATGAGTATGTCTCTTATTGTCCATTTCCGTTTCCAGAAATATGAAGTATCTCTTATTACAAAACAGTAAATTGAAATTATTATTTGAGTATTAATAGATAGAAATAATTACGATATGAATTGTGAATGCAATCATTAAACGAATCGCAATGCCATTAGCGAAAATGTGGAAGAACGTTCAGTTGTAAGCACACTAAACGCAGGTTAAAGGGATAATTTGTCAAAGGCAAATAATCAGATCAATCTTCCTCATGGGTAGCGCTTTTTCTGCGAGTAATACTGTTGTATAAATATATTTTTATATTAAAATTACCTGTAAAATGTCTAAGGAGTTCACTCCTCTCGAATACATTGACGTCTGCTTTAAATTATTTTGAACTCATAATACTCGCATGCTGGCCCTTTTAGGTTCTGATTTTTGCAGGTGGAAAAAAAAAGTTTTATGAAACTGAGTCGTCTACACGGGCTTTGGTACAAGGTGTGACGTAGTGAAATAAGAAATAAATTTCAATAACAAAATAAAAATAATATATTCAAAGA